CCCTACTAAAGACCGGATGTTTCTTGCTGGACACCCATCACAGGGATGTTTTTGCCTTCAGTCGCATTGCGCTCCATGCTACTTTTTCAATAAAGCTTCTTTTTATCCCTCTGATTTCTCTTTTAGTAAGTGTTGCTTACATTACTCATGTCCTTACGTATTGGGGATCTTACGGTATTAAATGTGTTGATTTGGAAACCTTTTGTACAAAGTTATATTGAAAAAACCGTCTCGTCCTTAATTTTTGCACACCAGTGTATACATATATATATGCTTTAACTTTTGAGTGTTGCCAAATATTACAAGTGAATCAATACTCCTATTATTCTAACATTAAGTCATATTTTTATCATCATCATTTTCTTGTCGGTGATGGTTGATGTTTTTGTTAATTTTGATATGAGTTTTTTTTTCCATAAATTTGTAAAAATAATTATTTTATCACTTTTGTAATGATAATATTTAAGTGTGTGAGCAATCTAAAAAAATCTCATAAATTCAGAAATATAATGAACAGTTTGGTTTAGTCTATTTAATTATGGCAAAGCACACTAGGGCTATCTGCCTAAGGGTGGAGCCTAATTCCTTCGTGGAGAACGTTCTAAGGGAAACTGACTCGTATACACGTGGGGAAAATCAGGAAAATGCGCATGCAGCCAGCTCGTCCGCGGGATTCGAACCTCGGACCGAATTAACAGTGTTCAGCAACTTTACCGCTCAGCCGCTGGTGGGCAATAAACAGTTTGGAAAACGCCCTTCGTACGAAGTATGTTACCTTAAACAAATTGAATAAAACTGATGCCATATTTGAAACTCACCAATGATTGATTAAAACATTTGAACAATAACTAAATTGCTCTAAATATTTATCTAAATAACTTAATTAAAAACGTCAGACTTTTGCCATAAGACCTTCATTTGTAATTCATAATTTTGAAACTTTCCAGATACATATTGAAATTGTGCTTTCAATTGTAGTATATTCCGTGATGTTTTTACTTACGAAGTTTGGAGTGATCAGTTTATGCGCTACAAGAATTATTCTAGTACAAAATAACATTTTAGATTAAAGAATTGAAGTAATATTAATTTCACTTTACTTAATACTAATAAAGATTAAACAAATAACTCAAAATACGTATCCAACTCAGAATACTCATCTATTTCTCAGCGAAGATCTAAGCCTTGCATCTTAGCTGAGAAACGAAGTAAAGTCTTCTACGCTATTCGAGCCGCACAACTGGGATAATGGTTAGTGATTCGTGACGAACTACCGTGACGAAAAGCCCAGTTTCGAATCCCGGAGGAGGCATGGATGTTTTTAAATGTATAGTGTCTTTGTGGCATGGGGGGTATTCTAAATATATGTCGAGCCAAAAGTGCTCTTTTAAGGTTAGATGGTAAGGCAAGGGGAATGGTAGACATTCAGAGCCCTCCCTCGGGGTTCTGTCTCTCAAAAATGAGGGGAGGCAAGGGGGCAAAATCATCCTGATAACTATGTGGTGCCCAAGACGTCTTGTCAACGGGATACCTTAATCTTGTACTACTTGCCATGATAAATTTCGTGGGCCTGTTCTGATGATGAGGCCAGACAAGTGACATTAGTCACAACAGAAAGCTAATCGCAAAAGAGTAAATGATAAACATGTCTTAAATATTGGGAGAATCGACAAAAAGAAGCTATTAGCTCCGAAAGTCCTCTATAAATCTACAATGCTCACTCTTCTATTTATTGGAGAGAGCATGAAATCAAATTGGAATTTGGCCTTACTTATGTGAGATACTTATGTGAGACTCTTCTGATAGGAAAATAAGATCAATTATTTGGATTTATGGTTAAACTAACTGGGTTTATACATAACGTTCGGATTATGCGTGGATTTTCAATTTTATGACTGAAATTTTGCAATAAAGTCGATAAAGAATCGTCTTTGGTGCAGTTTGACTTATATACAGGTATCTTGACTTTTAGCTATTTAAAAACCGTATAAAGCACATTATTTCCCTCCTATCCTCACATAAGTAAAATTTCTATTCCCATACAAATAATTACAAAATAGTAAAATCAATCATTATATCACTTCTGCAATATACGTCGTTTTCGCTGCAATGCTTCAGATGCAAAATAGTTTCTAAAATTTCGGATCTTATTAGTCCAAAGGGGCTTTGTCCCTGAAGGACTATTGTTTTCGTTTTGCGATTTTGCGTTGAATCGCTATAAATATCCGTTTTACTTTACAAACTGTTGCCACCAAATGTTAGAGTCCTGCATTATATTTGAAGGAATTAAATAATAAAAAATCTGAAAAAAATTATGTATATTTCTCGCATTGTGATAAAACAACGGTACGTCGAAATTTGAATGACGTAATCCTCCTACGAATATGGGCACGTGGAAAACCAAATTTAAAATTTGGAATTTGTTTTATAATCGATTTCCTATTTTGTAAAACTTTAACGATTTTTTGATTAACAAATTCAAGGATTTCAAAGCGAGCAATGGCGACACTCTACGGCTGAAAAAAACCTTTTTTATCTCTAGCACCGCGGAACTGTGTATCAGAAATTCTAAAAATAGACTCATTTTAAAATTACTTTACGACATTGCTATTGAACTGAATTTTATGGTTTGAGTGCAAAGAACACGATATTTAATAAATAAAGGTAACACTCAAAACGTTCAAAAAAGTCCCTTTGGACGTAATTAAAATCTGAAACCCTTCAGATTTTTTTTATTTATTGTTTTTTTAGTAATAATTTTATTTTATATTGTAAGACCTATTGAACATTTATTGAAGATTTATTTAACCTCATTCAGTGACGCCAGTCTATAGGAGGGAAAATGTAACACCTAAATCGTTTTTACCAGATACTATACTTAATGAGGCAACCGCAAATTGATCAAAGCTTAAGATAAAATGTCTTTATTACAATTCTAGAATTAACTGTTCAACTTAATGATGATTGCTTAATTAAGCTTATTTGTAATTAGTACCATTACCGCGTTCGATTGCTAACACGGGGTGACCTTTTTATGTTATAAATGTATTTGTGGGCTCAAGTGATTAGAGAATCATTATTAGAATTAAAGAGGCGTTATAAAAAGAGCCACCTGACTTAAAAACTGTTGAATCGTGATGAAGTTATTTCCGCTTTTTGCATATTTGTTATTATATTTTGTATAATTTTAGAACAAAAATATTTAAACGCGATGCCATTCAATCTATATTATGTTACAAATTACAAATCTGATGAAAATTATCTTGTCTTTTACAGCCGAAATTTCATTAACACACAAAGGCCGATTTATGCTGTTCTGACATATCTCACTTGTTTGAGAGTGACATGAGAAAAAGCCTATGAAACTCGTCGTGGCAAGGAGTGCAAGATTGCTCCTGTCGTTGGCAACAGCCTCGAGCATCATTCAGGTGACAGTAATACTTTGCTTAGTTCCGCCCCCCCCCAATTATGTTGGACAGCATCCCGGGGGATGGGTACGTGAGTCTCCCACCCCTCTTACCACACCCCGACCTCTCGATAGGACTTTCGATCGCCGCATATTAAGAGGGCCCTCATGCAACACAGACACTATACATTTACAAATATCCATGCCTTTTCCGGCACTCGAACCCCGGTCCTTCAGTACGTCAGTCAGTGTAGGTAACCAGTATCTCGGTTGGGCGACAAGTCCGATTTATGCAAAGATTGACTGGAAAATTGCACCTAATCTTCGCTCTTAGGAAAGGGCTCTCAAGTCCTTCTACAGTATTTTAAACACCCCCATTTTACCTATTTATTCAAACGTAGGTTGTGTGAAAATTAAAGTCTCACGAACGGTCGATCGTTAAAACTTGTAAAATACTAGTAGTTCGACCCGGTTTTGAGTCCCGAGATAGGTTGGCTACATAAGAATTTTCATTGTTTTCGCAAGATGATGCGAATACGAGTCAGTTTTGCCTGAAAATCCTCTACGAAGGCACCCCTTTCCTAAAACAGATTGTCTTTTTATGTTTGCCATAACATAAATCCAAATAGTAATTTATGAATTTAGCTACAGGTGAAAAAATCTTAAGAACTCTTCAGTAGGTTTCTCAGTTTCTTTCAATTTCTTTTGTCTCTTCCTCTACCTAATATCTGAAATATAAGTAAAGATTGATAATAAGTAACTGCTTAATATGAATATAATATGAATAATTTTCTCTTTTTATTTGCGGAGATTTTTCGAAAAAAAATGAGGTTGCAGGAAATTATTCTTCAAAATGCAAGAAATGCATTCTGATTGTTTAATCAGGTCAGGTCTAGGTTCGAGTTTCAACATTGCTCATTTTTCATGTCTCCTGCTTCAAAAAAAAAAAAAAAAATGTCTCTACACTGGCGCCCGAAATAAAAGGAGGTGGATGATGATTCTTCACCACCAAGATTTGGCGACAATCGATCTTTAAAAAGAGCGTATATAAGGTAATTTTCCCCTCGTTTCTGCAGGCCATCGTGGTGTAACGGTAGCACACTCGGCGCGTATTCGAGAGGTACAGGTTCGAGTCCCGGAAAGGGCATTGCGTATTTTTCACGTCTCCAGCTTTAAAAAATGTATGAACAGTGGCGCTTGAACTAAACGGTGATGCATGGCGATTCTTCTCAACCGGGATTTGGCGACTGGATCACTTAATACACAGTCATCCTTTAAAAGGGGGAGTATATAAGTTACCAAATGTCTTCGCAGCCTGACCCACCTTTTCTCCCTCCTTTCTGCATGCTTTCGTGGTGTAACGGTAGCACACTCGGCACATATTGGAGAGGTCCAGATTCGAGTCCCGGCGGCGTAATGGCAGACCGCACATTGAGTTGAACAGTGTTAGACGAATGTCGCACACTGCGCATGCCCAGAAACAAATTTGGCATAATTATTATGTTGGCGCGATTTGAAAAGAGGATAAATACGGTATGTGGTAGATGTACCGCCATCTGATTGTAAACAAATCCGGCGTTTAAGTCTTCGTAGAGTATATGTGCAATGTAAAGTAATTACTGTGTAAAATTAGATTTTTTTTCCTGTACTGCTCCAACAACTGGAAAGTTGAACGATACGATCAAGTTTAAATTCGATTGAAGAGTGCACAAAATGGGTAAAGGAAGTCAGCGTAAATGCAGATGCTCCAGTGGATAGCGCGAGCTTCAAACCAAATGCTATTGCGAGATTGCTTTCAGGTATGTATATATTTTCCCATTTCAGTAAATTTGATATGTTATATGTGCAATATGTGATATATTGTATTTTAACACATATACAGTTCATTAACATTTTTTAACATTTCCTAAATTTCTATATAATGTAGCATTAAGAAAGATGTTTTAAGAAATTTGTTTCCTTACTGTTTTAATTTTTTCGAAAAGAAACATCATTTTCGAGAAACTTCAAGAAGAAATTTATTAGCGTAATTTTATTACAGCTAAAACTGATGCAAGGTACTTGAGTCTTTTATCTCAAAATGTGCTGAAATGTTTTGGTTGAAGTCAATATAAAATAATGTAATGAACTCGTAATGTAATGAATTGTGGTATAACTGTAAAGAATTGGTAAAAATAAAATATAATTAGCTCAAATTTACTTAACTCCTTATATTATCAAATATCTATTGAATAGAAAAACCTGTTGAAAATATTAAATGTAACAAGTTCTATTTTTAAAAGGCAGATGATTGTACAGCATGTAGGAATTGATGATGATTTTTAATAATCCTAAAGTAATAGTAACAGTAAGTCAACAATAAAGTATATTTTGATGGATGTAATTTTCATCAATGATTACATAACATTGCACTTTAATATAAAGTATGCTTGGATTGTTTTCATGTATGCTATATATTATTGCAAATTAGTTCTTCATAAAATTGTATATTTCTGCTGTGGAAAAAGTATGCATGCAATCATGCAAGTTGTAGGAAAACATGTACGTGTACTGCACATGTACCAGGAAGACAAGATAACAATTATGACTTCATTTGCTGACTGTGTCTGTCAATCATCATTTGCTGACTGTATCTGTCAAGCTGACTACACAGACTATAGTAGCCAAAGATAAGTTGTAGAAAGTGTGTTTCAGAGTTGAATATATGAATTAAAGTTAGTAGGATAATTATTCTTAACTAAATAGTAAAATTTAAATACAATAAAATAAAAACCCCTTATTTCATTTTTTATAAATTCTCTTATTATTATGATGTGATTTCACAACCATTGACCCTCTCCTATTGTTAAATAATTCTATTCAGCACTGAACAACATATTATTTTATTGGTATAAAAATAATAATATATTTTGTGTGTATGACCAAGTTATGATCTAAGATTTTTCAATACTTGAATCATCCTTTTAAAGATTTTTATAAAATGATTTTTTTTTTAATTTCAGGCATTGGCACAGTGAATGGCAGCTGAAAAATTTTGACCCTTGTTTCTGGAAGTGAAATGTTAGATGTAAGTAATGATGTCTGAGATCCTTATCACACGGCATTTGTTTCACATGAACAACTTGTTTCGGACAATTTTTCTGCCTGGTTTACTATTGAAAGAAAGACATGCAACGTTTTCCTTCCTTTCTAAAAAAAATTGCAAATTGTTCGTTTCCAATCAATCAACTATCAGCTTGTTTGTAATGGGGAACCAGTTTCCCATGTTAACCCCAAAGTGATCTATGATAATTGGCTGTTGTGACAAAGCAGAAAAATTGTGCCAAACAGTTATTCTTCCGAAACAAACTGATGTGTGATAGCATCCTTACTGTTAATAATACTGTGAAGAACTTAATTGTATGCTTTGCTAATGAATATGTGGTTATTATGAAAGAGGTGAAATTTCAAATACAATTGTTTCAGTTACAATTATTACAGATATTATTTAATTTTGTAATAATGCTAAATAAAAATATGAATTAAGAAAATGCAAAAATTATTGTGTATAAGTATACTAAATAGTTCAGAGTAAGACTTGTACTTAATTTATAGTACGCACTCATTCACACATATGATGACTCGTACACTGATATAAATTTGATATGCTTTTATACTGTTTACATGTCTTCTATATTCAGATTTGAATCATCATCTGCCAACAAATTCAGTTAATCAGGCATTGTTGACCTTATTAGTTTCTTGCAGATGCGTGAACTTTGGAAACATTTTTAGATTTAGTGTAGTTTAGTTTTTGTTGCTTTTCAGGTTTTCACATAATATCAACTAGAAACATTACCTCTTCATTTTAAAGGTCAAAGAGATAAAAAATAAAATAAAAAAAAAATAATTAGTTAATATCAAACCTAAAATGTTCTTTTATTACACAACTATTATTTAAGCCATCCAAATGGGCGCAATATTTTTTATAATACTTTTATTTTAATTTTCCAGTATATGTTATTGAAGCCATTCAAATCCCACTTGGGCATTTTCAAGCATATTAGTTGTTGAATATTATGTCTGACTGTAAACACACAGGCAAAGTATGTATAATTATTATGTAATTTAACCTATCTTTCCTTCAAATATTTCTTTAAAATTACACGAGACAGGCATACATTTGAGCTTTGATTAACAGACTTAGTGTAGTCGCCATGACGGATAAGAAAACAGATGAATAATAGACCACCCATAATCACCAACATATAATGCAAGGATTTGAGAATAAAGATTGCTTATTAGCATAATAGTGCACTGAATATTAGATATAAAAATTATAGAACTGAAAGATTTGTCACGTATCATCTTTGCTTATTATTATATATATTGAAAATAAATAGTTTGCTTCTGAAACAGAATAAATATCGAGTGTCTTGAAATGTTTTGTATACCTGGAGCTTTACAGTTCAGTACATTATACAAAAACCAGTATATATAATGATTATCAGGTCTGCACAGAAATTTTTAATGGAAAATTCTTGTGTATAGATTTAGTTGATATTTCTTATCTTGTGTACAGAATTAGTTGATATTTTGCAAGACAGACTTTATTGTAATTACTGGCAATATTTCAGACTTTTATTGTAATTACTGTGACAAAACAATCATTAGAAAATTATTAATATTACATTATGTAGCTTATATTAATAATTTTCATACGTGTATATGTAATATTTTGGCAGGCACAGGAATGACCAAAGCTTGACAATATAACTACATCATAGGCCAGGCATTGTTATGGCTGGATAGAAGGTTGCAAAATGACGACAAAGAAGGATTTAGCTTTTTAGATCCCACATCTTTATTCAATTCTCTCAGCAGATCATTTTGCCTTTAGATGAAATTCTCAAAATTATATATTCAATATTGATTTAAACTAATAAGTAAGATTAAATTTAGACTTTACGTCATATCTGCTTTAACAAACGAAAGAACAAGATGGGAGGAGCAGCTGCAAGGTCTTGTAGCAGCGGTAGAAGAAAGCAGTCTGACGAAAAATGGCACGTATTCAGTATGTGTACTAGCGGTTATATAACATGCCAGAATGTTCTCGAAAGTACTGGTCTAGGATAAGATCCTGAAACTGCAGTAAGTTAATTATAGGTTGCATGCTCGCGCAGAGCAAAGCCACTGTATTTTCTATATTTTACATGTATATAATACATATTCTTTGTGTCTTGGTGAATACATTCTACCTCGCTGGCAGGTAACAGAAACTGACGATCAAAAGATTGATGAATATTTAATAATTTTGATGAGATTATCTAGGAAAGTAAAATAGTTTAAAAAACGTATTAAATATGGTTTTCCAGAATGTTTCCTAGCATAGTTTTTAATCTCAGACTAAATGATACACATTATCTGGAAGTTCATATTCTTGTGTCATAAAGTATGCTTTATTGTAATTAGTCTTAGATTGTAAAGTTAAATTTATGAAAATATGATGAGTTAAAAATGTATTGCAGATATTAAACTAGATTTTTATATGCAATTTTGAAATTTTAGAGATCTTGCTTCATGTAATTATTTTTAATGTTTTTATTAAATTCTTAATTAATGCTATTATGCATGCATTAGAAAGTGAAATGAAATAATACTTAGGGATATCATTTGGCTGCATTCTGTTGTTTCTCAGTTAAACTATTCTGCATTCAAAAAATTACTCAAGGATTCTCACGAATACCAGCTCAAACAGTTCCAAAGTATTTCTGCAAAATATACGTAATTACTTAAGAATTGTATCTTTTTGATAATATTATTTAGCCTTTACAAGTTACTGCCAAAATTATTTTGTAAATCAGAAATCTTCGAGGGGATTAGTGTGTCTCGCATAGTTACCCTGGTGCCACACTATAACACTGAAATTGATAGATGTATAATTGAATGTTTAATCAAAAATGTCTAATTCCTCTTTTATGATATTTCAATAATTGATACTACTGAAACAAGAAATATTGGTACATTAACATTTTCTTAATATTCATTGTGTATTTGTTATGATGCATGTATTAATGTCATTACAAGTTAGCATTTGATAATGTTTGTTTCAACAATTTAGGGTTTGATGAAGTGCCACAGAGATTATCGCTTAAAGAATGCGTGCAGGCCAACCACCAACACAAGATATTAAAAGAGCAATGAAAATGAAGATTTAACTATAAGGAAAAATCTGACTAATATTATTACTCATAACACTTAATTGTTTCGTATTATTGTAAATTTATGCGAGTTTTCCTGTATTCTGTTTATTTTGCAACTTATGTTATTGTAAATTCATGTATGTTTTCATTCTTGCTCTGTCATGCATTTCATACTAATCGTTTGTTGTGCATATTAATTATATGTGTATATTACATCATTGAATTACTGTATTTGAATTTTAATAAACCTTTTTACCATTCAGTAGTACTTTTCCATAAAACCCTGAACATTCTAAACATCCCATATCACTAATCCTCAATTCTAAATAATACTTGAGTTTACTTAATTCATGTATTAATAACGAATTTGAAAAATAATACAATAGTGACATATTTTGAGGTAAAATAAAATACTGCTCAATTGGACATTTTAAAAATGTTTTTCCTTTTAATAGAGGAACATTTTTTAAGGATTTAATTATTAGTATTTGAATATTGTATTAATATATGATTAATTAGTATATGAATATACTTGTGTGTAATGAATAAGTAAGGCAGTGAATAAATTTTGAACAATAATTTCATATGAAGGAAATATGATCTGCCTGGGTTAAAAAATTAATCTTTAAATCCTATTTATGAGATTATATGGCTGAAATCTGTAGCCCAAAAGCAGTTAAAGCAACCCACCCCCAAAAAAGAAGACATTTTAAATAGTTTCTTCCAAAACTTGAAATATTTAAACATTACACGACCCTAAATTTCTAGTGAATTTAAAATACTCATTTCATTCAGTTCAGCTACTAGGCCATTATGAAAATTTTCCTATATTATTAAAATGTTCCTCATGATTTTGCAAGGTGAAGACCACAAATGTTCTGCCCTCATAACTAATGATGATATAATAAGCATGAAGTAGACTTCAGCGTAAGGAATATGGAACTATATATTTTGCTCTTTGTTTATTAATTAGCTCACTTTTAAAAAATTCATATCATATAGTAAGTAGTATTCATAATTTTTCTCATTTTCTTAATATTTCATTGAAGTATTTAAATGTTAATTTAATTAGCAATACCTAATAATGTCAAATGCATATATTATTATACAGAATGGGATTCTGACCATAACACTCGGGCAAAGTGATATACATGTTAATTTTTCAACAAGTTTCTGCGTTATGCTTTTTACTCTCTACACAATGTTTAATTTTTAATTATTATTTTTTATTATTTGTAGGACCTTATAGTAATACCAGAAAGTGTGACTTTCTTATATTATCCAACAGGAGACCTATGTTCACATCTTATATTTTGAATTTACAGTTTTCTTTTGTAGATGACAGACACCATATATTCAAAAGAAATTAACATGCTGCTGGATATATGCATGTGTTTTTCATATTTACAGCTGTTGCATGTGATGTTATGTAATCGGGTAAAAAATGAAAGAATTAAGTTTATTGACACCAAAACAAATGCATACTTCGATATAAAGGCTGCATAAAAATGAAAATGGCTAAATTAAAATAGTGAATTGAGGTTGTAGAGTTCTCATTTATTTTTATTAACCAGCTATTTTATGATAATTAGCTTTTCTTTCTTCCTTTCCATTTTCCTGCCAGAATGCTAATTTTGAGTGTATTCAAATGAGGTGAATTCATTTCGTTACTTTTGATTTACGCCATAAATGCTAGGCTGATTCTGTATGAACAAGCTGTGCACTCTGTTAATTTGTCCGAGTCTATAAAAAGGGTTTTTTTTTACACCTATTCCAAACCTCTGTTGTAATTTCCAAAACATAACGAGAAGTCGCTTAAGTTTTCCAGAGTTCTCACACAGTATATATTACCAAAGTGGGTGAAACTCGTATAAGGTGTAAGAAAGACCAAAAGGAGATTTATTAAATCAAGAAAAGTAATCGGTGGAAAAGGCATTTAATCTTAATAATGAAAAATCGAATTTTACACCAAATATTCAGACTTTTGTAACTGTTTTATATTTAATTAGCGAGAGTTAAAAATAAAAATTACCTTTATATTCATAACATAGGTTACATTCTGTTAATTTCCCATAAATAAACATAAAGAATACATTGACAAAATCATTGTACTAAGCTATTTTGGTAAAATAAAATCTACTATTTTCATTGTACTTCAAATTTAGGTTGTTTTCATGAAATTCTTTTATTAAACATTAACTTATACTTGATAATCAATCTTCAAGTTCGAAAATAAGTTAACTGTAATTGCATTTGTTTTATGATCAAATATTTTAATTTGGCATTTGAGCATTTCTAATGGCATTTCTTTTTCTGTTTGACATCTCTGCTCTGTTAAGGTTATAACCAGTTAAATTGTTACTGTGTCTCTGAAAAATCAACAGCATTCTTAAACACCATTTTAAAAATATTTCTGTGTGTAGTATTTTTCTTAAATAAATACAGTTGTTATGAAAACATTTGAGAGTACATGTCTTGAAAGAGAAACAGTATTCGTAGTGTTTAGTCAATTATGATATATTAACAGCTATCATAACTTTGCATGTATGTTGTATGCATTATACATATATATATATGCATAAAGACCCAATTTTGGCAATAAGTAGAGCTGTTACAAAATAATCATGAAGTCTAATGGAACGTACTCGTCACACATACTGGGGGGGGGGAATCAAATTTATGTACGTATTTGCCACTCTTAAAGAATTTTTGGGGGGAATTACAAATGTACCAATTTCTTATTAATATATAATCATTTGTTAATATTAAAGAAAAATTTATTTCTTAACTTAACTAAGCCAGCTAAGTCATAGACCGAAATATGTGTTTCTGCAGATATTCAGAACTTCCGGAACTACGAATACATTCACAGTTACAAAATATGTAAAAATATATTTCTTTTAAATGCTTGGAATATTCGGAAAAATATCTAAATTCAAAGAAATGGTAAAAAATACGTTTCACTTGCAGATTCTTTGTTATTTATTTGATTATATCACCATTAATAACAATGTTCACCCCCCAGAATAAAAAATATATTGTTTATGTACTGAAGTCTTGGTTTGTTTCCCTTGACAAGTCAATTAATCTATCATCAATGACAATAGCTACCTTTTAAATACTTTTAATTTTGGCACTTAAAATGTTTGCATTTCAAAATAATATTTCTATGCAGCTTTTAAATAATTTTTAATGCAACAGAAATCTAAATAACTTCAAATGCTGGCTAAAATTCATTCCAATAATTCATCGCTTTAAATTTCTGTTCCTTGCAGATGATACAGGAAAAACCTTTTCTAATAATATATTTCTAATTCTACCAGGAATTATTGATAAATAACCCGATGAAAAAATTGATACAGGCATAGATGGAGGAGATGTAAATAATTATTACGAAATAATGTGAAGCAGTGTTTGCATTCAAAATGTAAGATGTTATACTTATGAAATTCTGCACTTCACTTTGGAACTGTACGAATTTTCGCTCAGAAAAAGACTGAAATTCAGGATATATTAGTTACACTTTTAAGGAATAAAAACAATTCAGAATTTACCATACGTTACATTCGTACATACGCAAAGAAACACGGACATACGTAAAAAATATAGCAAGTGTTTGCAAATAACATTGAAGAAATTTTACAATTCCTTAATGCTGTTTATTTAATTCTTTTAAATAAGAAATAAAAGCGCGAATATACGTTAACAAACTAAGCGGGAAAATCCAGTTTACATTACTGAGAATTACAACATGTAAACAAATTACATCTAAATAACGAATTATTAAGCACAATATATGGTAACAATTATTAAATGCACTGTTAGACAAATTAAAATGAAACATATATTAGAAAAATAAGCAAGTGCAATCGGTATGAACGTTAAAATAACTAATAAACAAAGTTCCACAACATTGCAGTTGTACACATCACTCGACCACACTCGACAGCCATGGAGATCACGAATGAGCTAGCGTAGGGTTGCTTTTAGTCGCCAATATTTCTTCCCGCGCCAAAGGTACACCATCAAGCATGCGCAGTAAGCGAAATTCGCTTAACACTGTTCAACTCAATGTGCGGTTGCCTACGCTCCCGGACTTTTAGAAAAAATGGCCGCAAAAGACGCTGAACGGTGTTGGTCATTTAACCCCGAGGGCAATGCTTTTTGCTTGTAACTTTACAGCATTCATAAAGTTCTCCCGAAGCGCCCCTAGGAGATAGCCCTCGTGTGCTTTGCCATAATTGAATAATCCAATTCAATCCAGCTGCAAAATAACCTAATGGCTCTAGAGTCATTCATTGAAACTATTTTTCATAATTATTGTCATTTTTTGACACAATTTGTTATTAATTGTGTCATTGAAACAATTTTCAAATTTTATGGAAATTTGATGTTTCCGATTTTTGGATTACTGTGCCTAATGCCATGAATTCGTGTGCCGATCTTTACCGCTATTATTCTTACATTACATCCTGAATTTTTGTACCATATTACCGTCGAGCTCTAACATGAATAAATAAAAGCAAACTTGCATTTAAAATGTTTTTAAAGGCTTTCAAACTTTTTCTATCCCTCACGTTCACTATCGGATTTGGTATGTTTTATTCCAGTTATATTTCCTCGAGGATAGAATCCTTAGCTGTCACTGTTCGAAGCTTTATCCATTTCGAAATTTCTTTTCTTTCGAATATTTTATGATTTTTCTATTCTTTTTCCTACCATCATGCTAGTTCGAAACTTCAAAGCTTGTTTAGTTTTCTTTCTTTTTAGAAATCAATATACTCCTTATCATAGTCGCAGGATAAAGCCATATCCAGACTATTCAAAAGCAGGTTTCTAAAGATCAGAGGGAAGAGTCGTAATCGAAAGAGAGTGGGCTGATCAGAAAAGAAACGGATTCCTTGTAACCTTAAATAAAACCTGACATTTATCTTGAACTGAGATTAATCTAGAAATATTTGGCAGTACGTTACAGTGAAATTATTTTTAAATTGATCTGCATTACATAGTAAAACTTTGAA